TGGGCGAGGAGCCCCCCCCCCCCCCCCCCCACTCAACACTCTTGTCATCGTATCCGTCCAATGGGCCCTTCGTTCCCCTGAGAGGGATGTTGATTGAGGGTCAGGATGGCTTGAATGGCGGCATGTTGAATCAATTGAATTAAGATGGCTGTGTTGATGGAGCACGGAGTAAGCTGCATGTCTCTGGCCGCATGTTTGTGACTCCATGGCTGTGGCTGCTTGGCTGCAGGCTGGGACCTGCAAAGCATGCCACGCTAGCAGGGCTACGGTGGGCTCTGGCTGCCCTCCAATCCCTAGCCCCAGTGTAAACCAGAACCCAGCCCCCATCTCCCCAATCAGGATCGCCTTACCTGCCGGGACCCACTGGCCATTCCACTCCCAGCACTTGAGACAATGGTCCTTGGCCCTGTTGGCACCGCCGTTGGTGTCTCGAGTCTCGAGAGATGTCTCCATGTCTTCTCCCACCAGACGTCTCCCATGTCTCCAGTGTCTCTTTGCCGCGAGGTTGACAAGTCGACCAGTTGACCAATTCGGGCCTTCGAGGTCAACAGCCAAGCCGTCCAGGCTGGGTCTTCCCGCGACAAAGTGTCCGCACTCGCTCGACCCTCTCCTTCGTTATCTTTGCGTGACTCTTCTGTAGCAAGGGAACGTCGCTCCAGCATCTAGCCAGCGGTTGCCGTCTGACTGAGCTGTTGCGGAAAGCATTTGTCGTTGGGCTCAATCGTGCCGACTTGATTCTGGATCGCTGTGTTCTTTCGCTTGTCCGTTTATTCGGCCGCTCACTTATCGACTAGCCTTCGACGAGCCATTCTGACGCTATCGCCGCTGGTCACTGCGGAGACAGAAGAACCGTGGACGATTGAGTTTGGCCTTCATCATATGCTGCATCATAAACACCATTGAATGACGGGCAGCGTTTCCTTTCCTTTCCTTTCCTTCCTGCGGAAATTAGCAGTCGTCCTTTCTCTTTGATCTACCGGGTATGCGCAATACGGTCTCCCTATGACATCAACAGATCAACACAATATAATTGCCCAACGGCTTCCTGTCGACTACTCACGGTTGTGCCTTGACTTGCACGACGTCAACCTTTCAATCAAAGTTCGCCGGTCGGCGTAGTCGGCCGCTGTCGTCATGGTACGACCAGCAACACCCTTGACGGTGCTGCTGTTTGCAGCCTTCATTTTACTTCTCTTTTCGGTGATTTCTATTCCCGTCACCAAATTCGTGCCGCTCGGATCGTTTGGGGATGTCAGGTATGGCGTCTTTGGCTACTGCCAGGGTGACGCATGTACCAATATTGCTATAGGATATCCGCGAGGTACGCCTGATCGAGAACATGCGAATGTTGAATTGCAACGTGACAAACGGTATACTGACAAAATTGAACCTTTCGTGTAGATGGAGCATTAACCGATGAAACTCAAAAGTTCGATCTGCCTAGCTCAGTTCGCCATACTCTGTCCGCCATTCTGGTCATTCACCCCGTAGCGGCACTCCTGACTCTCATCATGTTCTGTCTGGCTATCGCTGCCCACATGCACAGTGCATCGCATTCGTCGAGATATCTCCTCGTCCTGTTCGTTTTTATCCTGATCACCTTTCTCGTTTGTGTTGCTGGTTTTGTGGTAGATGTGCTGCTCTTCATACCTCACTTGGCATGGGGCACCTACATGGTGTTGGCTGCATCCATCGTTCTTGCTATCTGCACCTTTGGGTCTTTCGCCATGCGACGAACCACTGTTAGCAGGAAAGCTCGTCAGAAGCGCATTGCGGAGAATGCAGAGATGAGTGGTGAAAACTACTACAACAGAGACGGTCAGGTCAAGTCGGCCCCTATCTTTGCCAGCCAGCCATCTTTTCCCGTTGTGAGCGGTGGAAATTCCGGAAAGGATAGCCTCCCTGCATTTGCAACCTTTGAAAGTCAGAGTCAGCGAAAGGACGACCAAGTTAGCGACGAGAGAATTCCTCTGACACAACGAAGTCCTGTAGAGAGATCAGCAACCACTGTTCATAGCGACGTGGCAAACATGGGGGAGGCCACTAGTTTGGCCAGTTCAAGGCAATCGCCGTCACGGGATCGTTTTGGAAATCCCATCAATGGGCCCGATGCCTATGGCAGGGAACGTGGTAGAGGCTACCGCGGCGGACGTGGTGATGCTTATGGCCGCAGAGGTTTCGATACCTATGGTGTAGCAGGTCGAGGACGTGGTGGAGGAAGAGGAGGTTATGGTCCCTTGCCTGGCAGAGGGGGAGCTCGCGGGCGAGGTGATTATGGCCTTCCACCTCGAGGAGGACGCGGGCCGCCTCCGATGGGAGGCTACGCTAATTTGCCTCCAAATCAACACAATCAGAGGCCGCCAGGTAACGAATACGCACCATATGGACAGACCCAGCCATCACAAAATTCATTGGACCGTGGGTGGAATGGAAGCCAACACGGCTTAGTAGCGGATAACAATGATCTTCCCCGAGCCGAGTCTCCTCCGCCCTTGCCAGGACAAGTCCCGGGTGGTTCACAAGCTCTGGACACCGACACTACTCCTCTGAGTCCGCCGCCGCCAAATGTTTACGGTCAGCATAACCTACTTCGAGATAGCGATGTAGATGTCGCTGGCATGGTTGGCTTGCAGCAAGGTCGTCCAATGCTCGGTGGAGGGCGTGAAACGATTATGAGCGACGGAAGCAAGTACAGCACCGACGAGTATGACTGCCTCTAATTCCGTACATGCCCATCTTATTGCTTTCCTAGTTTGCTAATGGTTGGTAGGCCGCAACAATATGTTCCACCACGGGCTGCGTGGAATCAAAATCCGGGGAGAAACTCGCCAAGAGCTCCTTCTCCAGGTGGCCAGAATATGCCTCCAACGAGGACAGGATCGCGTAGCGACTACTACGAGGACACCAATCCTCGATTCGATACTACGCCTCCTTCTGGACCGGTGCAAAGCCACCACCCATCTGCCTATCCTGAGCCACTGTTCGAGGATGCTCATGCTACGGGTGGTAGAGCACGAAGCCCTGCCGAATCAGAACGATCTAATTTCACGTCTATTTCCCAACGAGGAGTCAATCCTCGATGGGAACCACATCCGCCAATGCCCAACCAGGCACCCCTGAGCCGTCGACCGGTTCAGATGAAGCAGCAGCGTCAGGATGTGCTCTTGAACAACAACCCCGACTTCCAGTTACCAAGTTCACGCGGGCCAGGACCGAACCGAACCGGCAATGGGATGATTCCCGGAAGCGCTTACCCTGGAGGCGCCATTTAGGGGAAACCAGTCTTCAAAATGGCCCCAACCAAAGCCGGACCACTGTAAATAATGTGCTTTCAAACTCTAAATATTGGATTCTATTAAACCCGTCCGCCGCTCCTTGCGGAATTTGCAAAATCGAGCATAGCAGAGCAGAGGATTTCCCGACTTTCAGCTTAATCCAGCATGATCAAACTCTTTCCTCAATCCTCGGAAGGCGAGGTTGAATTTCCATCCTTTTGAATTTACACTTCATCACGGTCCCTTAATTGACAACTATGATATATAAAGGGATACACATAGCCTCTGGACTATCTTGAGGACTCTTACAGTCCCTTTTCTTTTCTGGCTGTGCCTCGAGATGCTTCATATTGTTTTTTTCTCCCCTTTTTAGTCTTGTAAATAAGATATGCGGGCAAGGCGATTGCCTATTTGGTAAACACTACGACACATTCAGGCCATTTCTGTTTTTATGTTTTTGTTGCGTACAGGTCTAAGTTGACCTCTAATGAGAAACCGGGGAACGTGAGGATAGCGGCTGCTGTCATGACGCGCAAATTCTCTTTTGCATATTACTAGTTGATATTATTGCAGCGCAGCATAACTGTTGGGACACGAAGACCTGTGTCATCATTTTGGTCGATATGATGTACCTGTTGGCCTTGGACGGGGGTCGCGAACCACAAGAATAGACGATAAGCCGTGCTTGGAGATACAAAGTTGCCTCCTACTATTACCACTCTTGCAGTGAAGCTCGCGATTGGGCGACGAGTATGCGTGATTGAGGCTCCGAGCGTAGAGAAGCACTCGTCTGTAGGTCATGTTCACACTTGAACATGCCAGTTTGCCAGTCAGGCCAGTCAGATTGTAGTAAGCCTCATTTACAAGACGAAAACACTCGATACAATAGACAAAATTTACTGCATATTACACCGCCATGCACTTTTTTACTTTAATTTAATTAAATGCTTTTATTGTACATATGTATAAAGTTTTGTTCTTAGGTTGCATGCCATATTTAATTCATAGCGAGTCAATACGTCGTGGCATGTCTCTCCACTCAGGCGAACCTACCGCTTGTAGGGGCTAGGTCCAATCATGAGCTCCGGCTTGACGAGGGTATCGAACTCGTCCTCGGTGAGAGCCTTGAGCTCCATGGCGCTCTGCTTGAGGGTAAGGCCCTTCTTGTGAGCGTTCTTGGCGACCTTGGAGGCCATGTCGTACCCAATCTTGGGGTTGAGGCAGGTGACGAGCATGAGGCTGAGTTGCGTTAGCTTGCTGGTATAGTATGTCCTATTGTATGGAAGTAGAGGGGCAAGAGGGCAAAAACTCACGATTCCTTCATGATGTGAGAAATCTTCTCCTCGTTGGCCTGGAGGCCAGCGACTAGGTTCTTCTCAAATGAGCGCATGCCGTCGGCCAGGAGGCGAGAGCTGTGCAGCAGGTTGCGGATGACGAGGGGCTTGTAGACGTTGAGCTCGAACTGGCCGTTCATGCCGCCAATGGTCGTGGCGACGTTGTTGCCCATGACTTGGGCGCAGACCATGGTCAGGGCCTCACACTGCGTGGGGTTCACCTTGCCGGGCATGATGCTGCTGCCGGGCTCGTTCTCGGGGAGAGCCAGCTCGCCAAGGCCGCAGCGGGGGCCGCTGCCCAGGTAGCGGATGTCCTGGGCAATCTTGGTGAGAGAGGTGGCGACGGTGTTGAGGCTGCCGTGGGCCTGGACGATGGCGTCGTGGGCGGCGAGGGCCTCGAACTTGTTGGGGGCGGTCTTGAACTCGGTGCCGGTCATCTTGGTGACTTCCTCGGCGATGGCCTCGGCGAAGCCCTGGAAGGTGTTAATTCCGGTGCCGACGGCGGTACCGCCCTGGGCGAGCAGGCGGAGGTCGGGGATGGAGCCCTCAACTCGCTTGATGCCAAAGTCGAGCTGGGCGACGTAGCCGGAGAACTCCTGGGCGAGAGTCAGGGGCGTGGCATCCTGCAGGTGAGTTCGGCCGATCTTGATGATCTTCTTGGCCTCGAACTCGTCGACCTTGGCCTGGAGAGCTTTGCGGAGGCTTCGCAAAGCGGGGAGCAGGTCGTTCTCGAGCTCAAGGACGGCAGCGATGTGCATGACGGTTGGGAAGGTGTCATTGGAGGAGGCGCTGCGGTTGACGTGGTCGTTGGGGTGGACGGGCTTCTTGCTGCCCTTCTCGCCGCCCAGGATCTCGATGGCGCGGTTAGAGATGACTTCGTTGGCGTTCATGTTGGACTGGGTGCCGGAGCCGGTCTGCCAGACGACGAGCGGGAAGTGGTCCATGAGCTTGCCATCGGCAACCTCCTTGGCGGCTTGCTGGATGGCCTGACCAATCTTGGGGTCTGAGTAAACGAAGGATTGTGTTAGTGAAATTCGCTCAAGTTGGAATCGAGGCCATGACGCATCCCCCGGGGCCCCTTCAGTCACCAAGACAACACACATCGCAAAGCACACGTACCCAGGCCATATCGCATGTTCACAGTCGCAGCAGCGCCCTTCAAGATACCAAAGGCCTTGACAATGGGAGGCGGCATGCGGTCCTGAGGCTGGTTGATGCGGAAGTTCTCGAGGGATCGCTCCGTCTGGGCTCCCCAGTACTTGTCGGCGGGCACCTGGATCTCGCCAAAGGCGTCACTCTCGGTTCGCGTAGCTTGAGCCATGTTGCTTGCGGTGCTGTGAATGCTTCGGCACGACGGGATTCGAGACTTGAGCTGTACTTGTAGCTGCGGGGTCCATGTAACGGCGCCGCCACGACTGGCTGAGGATGCTGCAGCATTAGCAGCTCGTCCGACCCTGGGGACGGAGCTCTTGACAAGACCCGAGGCCAGCGCTTTGGATGACGTTGATCGCAGCATGGTCAATTGGCGTGCCCCCTTTTCTGTATTTCCCTGGTAAAAATCAGAGAACCCCGTGCAATGCTAGGAAGTCTATTCGCTCATGAAGAAAAGAAAAGAAGAGAGAATTGCAAGCACGGCTGGCAGTGTCTGGGGCAACCAAGGGTAAAAAAGTTTCTCCGGTTTTCCCCGGGCGTCCAAACGTCTCCGTGGTCTTAACAAGAGGTTCTCGGGAAGAACCGAGAAGTATAGATGAGGCATGGTTTCTCGTTTGATATCTGGTCGCATCATGGTGTCTGCTGCATTTGCGACGAGCTTGTAATGAAAGCCCGGCGTTGTAGTAGTATGTTTGGTCACGTAGATTGTGGACGAGGACGAAGTAAGAGAGAGGCTCTGGATAGAGGGTACATTTTGATGCGGCGCGTCAATGGCAAAACCATGTTGCTTTGTTCAAGTATTGGACCATTGTCCAATTTCGAGTTTCGAAGCGCTATGTAGTTGCGCGCGGTCTGTGTGATGGCTTTTTTTCTTTGACGGCTTTGAGCATCCAAACACTAAAGACCAAGGGCTTTTGTCAGCTGTCAACAGGTGAGGTTCATGGCCTCTCATATCTCGACAGCTGGCAAATGCTACAGACACTGGTCACAATCACTTTATTTTACTCTTTGTATTGGGACTGGCTTTTAACTTCTTCCTCGCAACCCCCCCCCGGTTTCGTCTCATCGGCACCGTCATTTTGGATTATTTATCTGCGCTCGAAGACTTGAAGACTCGAACGACTTGACGTGGTTGGCGTGGTGGGATGGGCTGGATCACCATCTACTTAAGTTCCTTAGTGACATTTTTATTTTTATTCTTATTTTTGACTATACGCTGCGTGTAGCAAAGTTACTTTTTTGGGTTTTCGGTGAGTAGCGCGTCACGTCTAGCTCGAGCAGCAAAATGTTCAAGTGTTTGCATCATTTGGGAAACCTGCACACGCTGCACCTTCCTTCCTTGCCGTTTGGTCGTGCAGGAAGGAGCCAAGCAGAAGCCTAGTCTCTGCCGGTCTTAAAGCATGAGCCATGATACTTTTACCCAGAAGCCACTGCCTTCTTCTTAGCTTGTCTTTCTGTCCTCTTTACTCTTTGCCATTGCTTCTTAAGTTCCTCCTTGCCGTGGTGCTTGAAGCACTCTGCTCTTTAAAGTTTTTTGATTTGTTTTGTTAAATGCTTCTGATTCCGTAGTCTTCGAGGACGGATTTCGTTTTGATCTCAAGAGTATGAGTTGGTGCCCAGGGCTAAGAAAAAAAAATCTCTTCGCATTTACCAACCAAATCCCTTTCTTTTTCGTTTTCTCCTTTTTTTTTCTCACAAGAAATCAGAAATCAAAAACGTTGGAGAAATATTATAGAGCCATTTCTTCTGCTCTTATTTGCAATCGCAACCAACATTTATTCTAACTCGGACTTGCCGCCAGATCTCTTCAGTCTACTATCAAAACGAAGGTACGAAGAGTGGTAGGCTTCAGTTTGCGCGTAACGACCGCCATTACGCTTGGCATCATGGACGCCGCACCTCTTTCCGATACCGAGTCTACTTTTTCCCCGGCTGTTGTTGATTCTGCTGTTGCGTCATCATCCCCCCAGCCGACTTACACTACTGCGGGAACCATCTACAAGCCAAGTTCGTCCCAGCCACTTCAGCCGCCTACTCGTCGCGGACGCTTGCCCAAGTGGTCTGATGGTGGTATTCATTCCAAACTTGCCCTCTTCCCCAAATCATCCTTGCCAGGGATGTCGATGAAGGCTCTTGGAGGCCGTCCGAACTCGGCACTCCAGCAGTACACGCCTTTGCAACAGAACAACCATCGCGCCGTCAGTCCCTTCAGTGAGCCCGACCATCTTGTTGCTAAGATGCCGATAGAAACACCTCGGATACGTCTAGGGAACACTCCAAAGGCCCTCTCTGCCCCCACAATGTCTGAAAATTGCAGCCAGGAGAAGGCGGCGGCGACAGAAGATGGCGAGCATTGTTCCCTCGATGGGAGTGATGACGATAGTGAGGATAGCGATGCCAAGATAACTTTGCTCATGAATATGCCTGTCAAGTCACTTTATAATCTGGCTTCTTACCAAAATCCGAGCCAGAAGTATGCTCAGAGGGCGCTTCAGCGAGGAACGAAGTCGAGGCCACTTACGCTAGGCTCATCTTCTATGGGAAGTACCACATCGACCAGCCCTCCAACATTGTCAGCATTCAATCCTCCCTCTAGTTCAAATGAGATCGGAGGCCCCTCAAACCTGGGCCATCAAGGACCGACAGATATCTTTGGCTTTAGACGGGTTGAACTTGATGCTGCTTCCAGGGTTGACGATATATGGGATGCAAGAATTGGCACGCCGACACCAGCCTTTCCTAACCCTCCCAGGATCAACTTTACGGTTAGCGAGGTCCCGAATTCTGTTGGAAATTCTTCCCCTGCAAATGGTACACTGTTACCCCTAACTGCTGGGCCACCAGGGCAGCGACAGTATCGCCCCGTGGCTGTTGAGTCAACATTCAGACCATTTGCAAGCGCAGGACCCTCTTCGCTACCTACATCTAACCCAGCGGACGAGGATACGCTACAAATTGCAAATCGGGTTCTGTTAGAAGCCGGTATTGAGGATGTCTCCCTCGATTCGCTCGGATCTCTATTTGCAGAGAATTTGAACAGCACTCCCTCCTCCTATCCAACCTGGGACGGTGGTGCCGGGGATACGGAACCTCAAGGACCCATCCTACCAACGGGACCCGTCTATGAGGATGAGATGCAGGATCAATTTCGTGACATTACAGGTCCTATGGAGCGCATGAAGGTCTGGGACCCGAATGAAAGACTCATCCAGACAAGGAGTTGGCGGGACCCTTCTCCGGAAGTTCGAGCTCTTTACAAGCCTGGCACCGATAGACTAACCGAAGAGGCGTTGGCGGCTCGGAATAACAAGGTTGAAAAGTGGTGGTTCTCGGGAGTCGATAATATACACAATAGAACCAGACCAAAGAATAGACCAGAGAGGATACCTCTTCCCCAAAGCTTGCCTCGGGCGGATCAGGATTTCGGGGTTATAGGAGACAGAAGGCTAAGGACGCCGATGAGACTTTCGGAGAAGGCTTCAGTAGAGGATGCTTCAGTTGAAGAGACGACTGAGAGGAAGACTGCGCAGACGACTGAAAAGACCACTCAAGAGACCACTCGAGAGTTCATCACGGAAGAGATGACAGAAGAGACTCATGGGACTACTCAGGAGACGACGGAAATTACCACGTCAGAGAATGACAGGGTCACCGTTGGAGAGGCACAGCGAAGCCAAGGTGGAGAGGGCCCAACAACAGATTCTATGATACACTGACTTGCTCTACTGAGCGGTAATGGACGGACAGTGACAATCTGATATTATGGGTACCGTGTGTAAAATAGACTGTATTGGAATTGCACGTTTGTGGACAAGTTAAGCAGGACTCGGCATGTGGCGAGATGGATACGGCCAGAGCAAAAGCTAAAACTGGAAGTAAATTCGGCAATACATTCAGATGGGCGGTCCGGCGACTTGGAGTTGAGGGAATCATAATTTGGGAGCTTTTACTGAGATTTCTAGGTAGCATTATCCCATATTTGTTAATCATATTGGTTCAATAATGTGATGGTTGCCTGCGATGTCGTCCTTAGCTGTGTACTCACCTGACGGGGCGTACGAGGCATGTCTAACAGCCTCGGTGTAGTCATACCAATGGCATGCCTAAGGACAGGCAAAGGGCATGGCACGATGGTGAAACACGACTCTAGTTGTACAATAGATCTGTGTCACTGCTGTTGTTGTACTGTCCAATGGCTTGTCTAAATATCCTTAAATGTCTGACCTCGGCGACTTCGTATAAGACATGGGCCAATAATTAGACCTTGTTGGCTGTCCCGATACGGACTTTATTTTCCATTATGATCAAATGAGACACCTGGGCCGCATTAGTGGATGCGGAGGCGCATCGGTTTATCGATCTTTGGCGACGTGACCTGCTACCAATACGTGTATGAGATGCTAGCTTTGGGTACTAGGACTTTGTCGTCATGTTGCCATGGAATTTGGGGCTTGGTTTGGCCATTTTCGTACGGCCCTCGTGCATGTGTGCGCTTTTACACCTTGATTCTTACTTGACAATGGAATGCCAACGGGCGAGAATGGCCCTGGTAGGAAATGATTGGGCGGTCGTCGATTGCATGTCGGACGTACATGATGACTGGCGTGGACAGGCGTGGAGGACTCGCGACCAAACGATAGGGAGCGGCAGGGTGGCAGAAGTCGACCGGTCTGGCCATCCTGTCCGGGGCCAACTGGATTGAAAAGTAATTGGACGCCACGTGAGGGTGTGGTGTCCTTTATTGTCCTTTTCCTCTCGCGGCACTAATGCGAGTTGCCGTCGGGAGGCGGGAGGGCTGTCGAGGGGCACATGTGAGCATTATAATTATACATCCGGATCCTTGTATGCGGAGAGGTAGCACCACCACATTGTTGTTCCTCGGTACCGTCGTTGGTGTGGAATGCCTCCAGGAATATGCTGACGGCCTATCGTATTTGCAGTGAAACCCCGCTCTTCGATCTCGTCATATATTACAAGGCAGCCGAGCTGAAACTCTTCTCACTTTGCAATAGTTTGTGGTCCAATCAGTGTGTTGCTGAGGCTTCTATGTGCGGTCCGTCCGACTTCACATCAGGCGCTCATTCAAAAATATAACCACATCATGTCTGGCGAAGCCTGCTGCTGCAAGAACTTGTCGTTGGGGCCTAGCGAACACAAGAACCTCACTCGAAAACAACAATGACGACCAACGTGGCACGCTATGTTTGTGCCAACGTCGGTTGTGGCGAGGATGGAAAGCTCAGGTGCAAAAAATGCCAGCTCGTCTGTGTAAGTCTCCTCAGACATGCGCGGGAGGATTGGCGAACAATGAGGCTGACCACAAACTCCACAAAGTACTGTGGTGTGTCCTGCCAGAGGGAGCATTGGACATCACATAAGCTTGACTGCAATTCTCCATTGCTCAAGTCGACTTGGCGGCCGCAATGGGAGGTCGAGGGCCGCAAGCCTGCATTCATGAGATCAGACACTCCAGCGCGGTCCTTCAACCACCACAAGAAGTATCTGTGGGGAAACATGCCGGCGTTTGATGTTTTGAAACTTGAAGTCAATGAAGGCAAGGCTTACAAGGGCGACCTGGACCTTCTTTTCGCCGGTATAGTGTCTCTCTCGAACCATCTGGACGTGTTCCATGCCCTGATGTTCAATGAGAATTACTGATTGGTTTTGGCTACTAGCTTCCGGAGATCTGAGAAATGTGCTGAGGACTATTGCTGACCTTCCCAACGACTTTTGCGCACGAGTCTCTGTGGTTGTGAACGACCGCGATTTTGATATAGTGGCTCGGAATGTCATCATGCTGCTACTGTTGTTGATGGATGATGACCCCCAGAGGGCAGCTGACCACATTATACACACTTGGTATTCCGCTTTTATCACCGAAGAGCTCAGTCGCACACTTCAGGGCCAGATCTTGAAACTGGTGGAAGGCGTATGTCACGAGACTACGCAGAAACAACCGAACGATCTGTTTCCAAAGACCTTTTCCTTCAAGAGGGGAAGTGTCCGGCTCGCGCTGACCAAGAAATCATGGGACGCTCTACAGGGCATCTTGAAGCCAAGCAATCTGACCCTACAGAAGGCGCAGGATGTTCGCCGGGCAGTCACCCTGGCTCCTAGCAGAGCCGACTACAGAGAACGGGCCTTCTTCCGACAGGATCCAAGCAGCCGGTTCGCGTCGTTCAGGTTCCGCCGCGATGGAATCCTGCTACCATTCGGCCTCCCCAGAAGCCCGTTCAATGTACCTAATCCGTAAGTACGCACACCACGTGGCAAACGATACGAGAAGAGACTGACATTTATCGGAGCACCTTGTTCACGGGTCTCGGTGCTTGGCCCATGATGGATTCTGCTGAGCCCCTTCACGGCTGGTCGCTTCAAGAAGTGAGTCAAGCATTTGGCGCTGCTGCCAATGATATACTCGGCAAACTGTACTACTCCTTGCTGGACTTGATCGGAAGTGTACACTGCAGACTGGGTCATGTGAATATTTCATTCCACCTCTGGAATCTCGATGCTGCTGTTCTTCCACAGCATCTCGGTACTATGAGGTTCGATCGAATCGAAGTAAGCCCCACGCATTCATCAGTTGTATACAGGGACAACCTAAAAAGCTAGGCCACTTACGCATTGGAATAAAACATAGACGTCCAACATTGCCGACACACCATACCTTGGACCAGAAAGATGCCTCTCTCTTCTAGGCACCCTCCTCAAGGAGCCACAGACCAACCCGCACGCTACGCTCATCACGCTCTTCATGAACGCAGTGCCCGAGACAATGACTAAGATGGATGAGTATGCCTCGCTGCCGGAAGAACTGAGCCAAGTAACGAAATACCTCACACCCAGCTTCTCCATCGCACCTTATGACGCAGATCGGCTGAGGATCGATTCCTGCCGCGATCTGGTTCGCAACAACGATAAATACTTTGACAGGTACGCTAAAGTCTTTCACCTTAGACGGGTATTATGAACCTTGACCTGTGGTTAAGGGGCTGACATGTTCTTTTCGTGCTAGATACATGGAATCTTGTCGGTTCAACGAGTTTTCTGCGCGTTTGAAGCTTGAGATGAAGACGCGCCATACCATTATTGATAAGTGGCCGCTGCGTATCAGGAAGAGGCCGAATCAAGCTGGGGCCCAGGAGGAGTTTATACGCGTCATGGGCTCCGGGCATGAGGGGTGCGAAAGATACGTCGAGTGGAGGGTTAGTGGTTGATGTCTTTATTTTCTGCGGACAGGGGATTGACGACATAGGACGGTGAGGGAGCTGCTGGTCAAGTATAACTGTAGCTTGATCAAGACAAGTCTAAGCATGGGGAGAGCGCTTTTTCTGTGGTGTTAGAAACGAGCCTTTTATTTGAGGTGTATAGCTTGAACAGCGTAATGGACTTTCAAATTGAAAGAAGTAGGCTGATATTTCCGTCTTCCAGTCGGGATTCTGTTTCCTCTTTTTCTGCGTGGACTTGCTCGAAAGTACTGTTAACTTTCGTGAGAGGGCTACCGGGGCGAAACTCAACTTTCCATTCTGGGATGAACTCGGCGCAGCCCAGGGCAAGCCGTGTCCAAGGTCAGGAGTGGGAATGGTCATGCTTTGTGAAGGTAATTGGTCTGTGCATGAGTAAACGTCTTGAAGCTATCATTTGGATGATGCCGAAGCCATTGTTTGTGATAGAGCTACTCAATCCGAATTCCATTGATAGCAAAGTTAAATGCCCGGTTTTGCATGCTCGACATGGGAAACCGAAATACCAGTAGTCGATCAACCTTTTCCCGGGTGTGAAATCCCGCCGCCGCATAGTTTCATGGTTAGATGGCCTGTTTACATCTGACTTACGAATTGCAAGCAACACCCAAGTGGTGAAGTAGAAACAACAATGGAGATACAAGCTATATCGTGCATTTCGGTGTCCAAGTATAGTCGTGCAGTCGGGATTGGTTTATGCCGAGCTTTGCCAGTGAAGTGTAATGTCGATGGACTGAAACAGCCCGTCCACTGACGATTGATTGACACCGAAAAAAAAACAAGTCTGAATGAAGATTGTAGATGCATGCTAGTCTCTTTCGAGTCAGATCTGAAGTAACTGATCTGTATAGTTGATCCGACTTGGTGAGTCAAGCCAAAGAAGCTGAGCATTTATTCCGAGCCTTCTTCAGAGACTCATGACGAAAGGTTGTCTGTGGAGTATGGGTATCTTGGATGCAAGGAACGGCCAATCTGAACCGCGCAATTGGGACCGCAGGATTTCGGATTTTGTCGAGTCCTAGTTATTTGTTTTGCACAGAAACGGATAAGAACAGTCAGTCTCCCCCCTTGCGCAACAGCCTCTACTTTTTCCGAGGGAGAATCCGACCAGACCAAATGCTGTTTCTCTGGTTGGGATTCCATAGTCTGGATTTTGGGCGAGGCGCTCTCCTTTTCGTCCCTATTGCCATGTTTTTATTTCCTTGGTGCAGTTTTATACAACAGCAACTGTGAGAGGCCTGAATATGGCGTAGTCACGGGATATAGTGTGTCTTGCGAAGGGCTGAGGGCCTCCAAGGCGTTGAGCTAACACCCCAATTATAGCATGTTCTTGCTTCTCAAATGCTTGAAATAAGCGATGCAGGAGCCAAGGTTCCCGCGGGTGCAACAACCAAGATGCCTCGCAGATTGGCGCGGCCGTGCAGGGTATGAACGCGGCGGCTTCAATGGTCAAGAGTACAGACTACCAATTAGGCTTGCACATATTGCCGTGCATGCGTGGGTGTCTGGAGATCCGTGTCGGGAGCACGTCGCGGGCGCCAAGACTTCAAAATTGGTTTGCTTGAGATCCACTCTGGGCGCTTCGGTGGTGGTTGACAAATCAATATCCCAACATTTGGAGGAATACTCCGTATATGTTTCCCATCGGGATGCCAGAGTGGTTTTGACGAGACTTTTCCGTCGTCGCGTGCTGAAAGACGAGTGGTATTGAGCTGCCTTGTCAGAGCTATTCCCGGCTTCGATGATGGCTTATTGTCGAAATTTAAACCCTAGGCGCCAAAGTCCTGAATAAAACGTCCGTCCCATTAATAGACGTCTTCAACTGCGTTAAAGCGCAAGTGATTCGAACTGACTGACCTGGAGGCCGGTAGATGTGCATGCGAATCGGGCGGCGAGAACGAGGGGATGAGGAGTCGTTACCACGATCCGAGCATTGCGTTGGCTTGCACTCACCGAGACTGGGTGCATCTAAACAACAAGAGGAAGGAAGGGTTGACTCTCTCTTGCCTCTCAGCCAGGACCGATGACGCCACGCTTTGGCCACATGCCTCGGCCCTTGCAAACAAAGAACGCATACTCTCCCTAGCTCAGTCACGACAAGGCCAAGGCCATCTATCTTGCAATGTTGCCCGCTTGCTAGCCAAGCCCAATTGGTCCGTGGACTAGACCAGACCTCTTTCTTTTGTTTGCGCTATCAAGAATGTAGTACAACTGCATAACTACAACCTCCCAACCCGTCTTGGCACAGTTCTGGACTCAACACGGGATGCGGAAGCTGTGACTCGCAATGCCCAGCAAAAGCAAAGCATCATGGCTTATCCAATGAATTAGCCGGCAAACCCTTTGTCATGACCGCTATCGAACGCGCTCAGACGTTGGTTGCTTCAATATATTTGTCGTTGACATTTGTATCAAACGGATAACGGCAGCCAAGGCGCCAGTTGACTCGTTCCTCGTGACGATTGTCTCGAGTACACGATTTGCTAACGAACCAATTCGCAGAATAATTTTCATCTTGCAACGAATGACCAAGGCAACGTGTTTAGAAAAGCAAATGCCTAATAAAGGGCCGCAGCTGTGACGAGGCTTTACCTACCTAGGTGCGCATCATCCTCTCGGCTTCCCGGCCGGTTTGGGCCAGGTACGAGTTCCCAACACCCCCAAACCAACATTTCATGCTTGGCATCAGCCAGGAACAGGAGACCCAAAGGCCGACAAATCCCTGCACATCCTTCTAGTTAGTTTGTCCCTCCCAGATCTGTTTCCAGCCAACCCGTACCCGCTTGATTGTCATGGGAGTGCCACATCCCGCTTCTGCGGATTACTCCCCACGCCACTCCACCACACCACCAATCTGGAGGCCATTAGCTTCAGTGTTGGTCGTGGTGCTTGCAAGTGCAACAATATTTGGGACTAGTGTTGCACAGTCGCCTCCTCTTTGAGAGCTAACGCGCTCGTTAGCTACCCTCTAAGCAATCCCTGCATCAATATGCCTTCCTGTTGGTCTGGCTTATATCCATGAACAAGAGGTTGAGTCCCGTGGACTTCGCTTTGCCTTCTCGGGCCATACCTGAACCGAAAAGACGTGCCTCGCCTTCCAACCAACGGTTGAACCATCCAGTCGCTTGATTCTGTACATAAAAACGCGTAGTCCCAACCTCTTGCTGCTGCCAGCAATGTGCGCATCTCTCTCCCACTTCCCTCCATCTTCAGTTCATCTATTCTTGATGCCGAGCGCTGGCTCTTCAGTTTCCAGTGCCAACTTTGATACTCAAGATGGGGCTCCTCTCACTTACTTACACCCGTCCCCAGCATGTGGAACAGCAAAGCTTGCAACGCAGCCGGGAGACACTATCTGATGAGAAGACTGATGGCTCCGTCAAGTCAGGTCGATCTGGTTACTCGGCTGGTATACCGGACTCGCTGAGTTTTGATAATGTTATGAACGGTGGAACTTGCCCAGTAAAGCTTCCCCGCAAGATAAAATTCATTTGCCGATAACAAACTTGATCTGACCCTTTTTTATTGCTAGCCCATGACTATTCGCGACTTTATGAACTATCTGATCTACATTGAGCACTCTGCCGAGAACCTTCAGTTCTTTCTTTGGTATAAAGACTACGTCAAGCGGTTTCACGAAGCAAATGCCCCCGATATCTCTCTCGCGCCGGCGTGGACACAGGCCATGGAAGACGAAGCAGTTGCCAAAATTCGAAAGGAGCACGCTAAGAAGACACGTTCACCCCCAGAAGCTGCTTCAATCTTTCGGGGGACAGACTTTGAGAAGCAGGTCCCAGATATGCCTGAGAATGCCCTCAACCCTTTCAACAGCCCTCCTCAATCCTCCAATGGCTGTAGTGATAAAGGTTCAATTAGTGCGGCATCACGTAGCCTGCCAATTGCGACGTCTGGCTCGTACAACTCGCAAGCTGCTGAGGCTTTCCAATCCGCAGGTGCCAGATTGCCTTGTAGGTCTACCAAAATTACGTCCCGGATGCCCATGAAATGTAATATACTAATACTGGACAGTCACCATCCAGCCGTTTAGGGATGAGGTAAATCGGGTCATCGCAACATACATCATGAATGGGGCTCCTCGACAGCTCAACCTCGCCTCCTGGGAACAGAAGGCTGCTGCTCAAGCCCTATCGCATACTACTCATCCTACTGCCCTTCGTGGCGTGTTCAGGACGGTGGATTCTTCTCTGCGACAACAAGCGCACCCCAACTTTGTCCGTTGGTCAATTTGCAACGGTAATCCTGCCCGTGTCTTCTTCGCCCGCTTTCTTGGAATATTCCTTATAATTGCTGGCTTTGCCATTGCCATCCCGATTACTCTTAGCAAGCTTGGCCGCGGCTACCGTGCTGTTGCCGCTATTGCGTGGGTTTTGGGCATCAGCACTTTAGTTGCTGCATACAAGGGCATGTGTGTTGTCTTGCATGGCATGCACCACCGTCATGTGCGACCTTGGGAACTTTTCGTGCAAGATGATGGAGAGAAACCGAACAAGCGTAGCTTTGACTCGTTTGGAAGTCATAACAGCTATGAAGATGAGCCATGGGTCGTGAAGTACGAGAGGCGAAATGTTGTGCGCAAAGTATTTGACCGCGAGGTTTGGATCCAGGAACCTGCATTGAGACAGATCCAGGATACCATTTTTGTTCAAGCGCTTCTTGCATCTGTTCTTCTGAGCGGTGTTTTGGCTGCTATTTTTGTCGCTGTACCTGAAGGACACTTGTTCTAAAGGCCAAGTGGGGTGAATGATGTCTCGTGTGAAGTAACGGCTGTAAAAATAAACACATGACGATGATGACGATGATGATAATAATAATAATAATAAATGTATCTATAAGTAATGGGTGGCTGCTATGTAGAAGCCAAAGTCTCGTTTTGGTTATGAAATGGGCCGGCCTTGTTGAGTAACTTGAGTTGGTCCGTCCGCATGGGGAAGTTGCCGACGACCCGTAGACGTCGACCCGTAGACCTCGGCCAACCGGGTCGGTTCCTTATCGATAAGTGCATTCATTGGTAAAGGTACTGATTCACTTGGCCAAGTTCCCACTTCCCCTCCACATCCCTCTCTCTCATCAGTGATTGAACTGCCACAACCTGGACGGACCAACGGCTCAGGAGCTGTGCCTCTACATGTTCTGAGCTCTCAACAATATTTCGCTAGCCACACGTGAGAATGACAGGGCATCGTTGAAGTCGACTGACTTGCCTTGTGACATCCACAACAAGCACGACGCCACGAAATCTGCAAGTCTTTGCGCATTCATATGACGCCCGCCGTTGAGCATCGCGACGCGGCCGGTGGTGGTACCGCCGCCGGTACAATGCGGCAGCCTGTGACGGAGGCCGAGGTGTCTAGGACTGTGACTTCGACTGAGGAGATCAACAACACCATTACCAGGCCGGGCAGCGTTAAGATCAATGTTCAAGGTGCTTTTATCGTTGATCCGGATACATCTACCCCAGCGGTGGGCAGCACGACCAACTCCCAAGGCAATGGCCGCGGAAGCCCGACACATCACGAGACGAGCGATATCCGATTGCCAAACCACACTGCCGTGGTCAGCCATATTGCAGTCGATGTCAGTGCCTGCATATCCCCCCCCATCCCCCCTTCTTACTGCGCTGCGCGGCAAGAATTGGAGACTTGAAGTGTGGCCCGAAAGACCCATGCGCTAACCCAAACCCTTCCTTGGATAGATTGGCGGGTCACTCATTAAGCTGGTGTACTTCTCCCGTGAGGTGCATTCTATGGACCCCGGTGGCCGACTAAACTTTCAGATCTTCGAGACTGATCGAATCGACGATTGTGTCGAATTCATGAAGCACCTGCGTGACATCCAATTGGCCCTCAATGGCTCCAAGCCTGGAGAGCTGTGTGTCATGGCCACCGGTGGCGGCGCATACAAATTTTACGACAAGATTCGAGATGCTCTCGGCGTTGACGTGCTGAGAGAGGACGAAATGGAGTGTCTCATTATTGGTGAGAAGCTAACGCGCAGTACTGTATTCGTTGCTACGCCAAGACTAACAAGTAGGTTCTGCAACAGGTCTTGATTTTTTCATCACGGAGATTCCCCGCGAGGTCTTTACGTACTCTGAGACGGACCCTATGCACTTTGTGACTCCGAGGGAAAGGATATATCCTTATCTTTTGGTCAACATTGGGTCTGGGGTATCTATCCTGAAAGTCGATGGCCCTCGGTCTTACCAACGAGTTGGCGGCACCTCGCTTGGCGGAGGTACGTTATGGGGTCTGCTGTCTTTATTGACGGGCGCTCGAAACTTTGACGAAATGTTGGAACAGGCCGGTCACGGTGACAATGCCAATGTCGACATGCTTGTCGGCGATATCTATGGCACGGACTATGGCAAGATTGGGCTCAAGAGCACCACCATTGCATCCTCCTTTGGCAAAGTGTTTCGCAAGAAGAGCTTGGCGGAAGCAGCCGCCGCGGCGCACAAGGATCAACCAAACGAAAAGGCTGGTCCGATGCAGTTGGGGTTTACAGAAAGCGACATTTCGAGGTCGCTACTATACGCCGTGTCCAATAACATTGGACAGATTGCGTATTTGCAGTCGCAAATACACAATGTATCCGACATTTATTTTGGCGGCTCATTCATCCGCGGCCACCGACAAACAATGAACACTCTCAGTTATGGTCTGAAGTTTTGGAGTAAGGGGGAGAAACAAGCTTATTTCTTGCGGCATGAAGGCTACCTTGGCGCCGTCGGCGCATTTTTGAAGCGGCAACCGAAGAACTGGGGCCGTCGAAACAGCCTTGAGGGCATGGAAGAAATGCTCGAACTTAGGAAGAGCGGAAAGGTAAAGGAAGCGTTGGCATTGTAATCAGCATTGGCCGTCACATTATCATCTATTCTTGGATATGGCCGTCCAAGTTTGATCAACCTTTGGCGATGAAATACTGGAGGCAGCTCTTGAATTTTTTTTTCTTTTTTTATCATTTATGGAAGCGTCTCCTACGACAGTACCGAAGCGAGGGCATTACTACATCGCATGGGGAGGGAATGAAATAGTCCTGTCCCAGTAGCTTATCAATTGCCTGAAAATATGTACATACAAGAAAGGGGCAAACGATTGGATCTACATGGACATAGAATTCTGGAGCACACTGCGGAAACCACATTTTTGCAGAGAAATCATACAGAAACGGTTTCAACACATGATTGGAATATAAAAAAATAGCTTTTGTAATACTACTTCTTGTCATCATTTTCTACCCCGTTCTGATGATGCTATGCTCCCGCTCGCTCACACTCATCCAAGACAAATTTCTGGGCCACATGGTTGAAACAACTGCCAAGAATGAAACAAACCTGCTGCGCTAACAGCCTAACAACCAATGATGTACAGTACCAGGCGTCTCTCAATTCCTGAGCGTTTGCGCAGCAATACCGTCATTTGATTCCCATTTTCCAAGGATCGCGTCTCCTCCCTGTGTTGCGAACCGCATGACGTACGGATAGTCGACAAGAGCCTGTTGCATTACACGTTGCCGGCGTTTTCTTCCTATACTCCAAACGCATTCTACGCTTTAATCGCATACGACGAATGCTGACACCCTCTTCCAACGCCACGATGAGAATTGCGCTCGGGCTAGTTGCTGCTTTTGCATGGCTCGTAGCCGCCCATGAGTGTGGACCTGGTGCGGCAATTCCCTGTGGCTACATCGCGGATATAACGAGGAACTAATTGCGTGCAGGAAACCAGTGTGGTTCGGAAGAATGCTGCGTCGACAGAGATGGGAGCAGGAGCTGCCAAGCTTTGGCGCAGCTGGATGAGCGATGTGGTGAGTTGCACTACTTGACGGACAGGACGTTACCTTGATACGGATGCTTATATCCTGGGTTAGCGACGGGCCCTGTTAACGGAGTGTACATGGGTCGGTGTCCCTGTGATGGCGGGATCGATTGCCAGTTGGGCATTTGCATTCGAGTATGAGGTGTGTGCTTTGCAAACGCCAGGACGCGATAATGACTATATTTAGGTGTGAAGCGTAGTATCCTATGATACCTCGATGCGGAGCACGTTGGTAAATCGGAGGCTTGTGCTATATCATGAAATGTCTAATATACATATGAGTACAAGTTTCGTATCTGAGGGGGCTGAATGTAGACGCATTGAATTGGTTCATGGTGGTGCTGTTCATATAGTGATGTGCCTCATGTCCAACACACTCACGACTACAACATCAGACGGTTGCAAAGCGTGACAAATTTGTGTCGATGTGAGATTTGACAACTTTTCTCTATACGAGAAGGGTTGCGAGGTGTAAGAAACGTGGATGCGAAAAAGGTAAAAAAGGTGGCACGGGCTATTTCTTGGAGGCCGTCTTCTTATCCTCCGACTCTACATTGTGCGTCTCTGGGGGCTTTGGCATCCCCAGCCTTTCCAGAATCGAGCCCATCATCTTCTCCACCTCCTTTTCCTCCTCTGGCGAGAAGTTGCCCGGTCTTCGTAGCGCGGCCTGCGTCCGCTCTCTCAATTCGCCAATGTTGCACAGATCAAAGGAATACGCAAGCCCGCCCGTCAACATGATGCCGAAACTGGTGACATTGAGCGTCGCCAGCCCCAAGGCTTGCACGGCCATGAGCGATCTCTCCCCCGGATCAATGTGAGGCGACGCCCGGTTGGATGAGTAGAACCTGGGGTAGCTCTCCAGTTGGCGCCGCAGCACGGCCCTGCGCGTCACGGCAACAGAGGCGGCCATGAAGCCGGCGCCGGCGAAGAGAAGACCCAGCTGCTTCAGTTTTCGCTCCGACGGCGATAGCGGCGCCGGCACGTGCTGCCTCGACGATGATGCGTCCGATGAACCCGGGAGTTGGGACATGGCTGTGGAAGCGTAGGCCATTGGGCGCAATCTGGGGGGCCCGATGGGGTGAGCCGAATGAGGGAGGACGATCCAATGAAGGGGTCCTTGTGGTGCGGCGGTCGCGTTACGCTTCTTCGCAGAGGTATTTCGTTGTGCCGAACATCAGTGACGGTGTGGTTGAGTTGAAAAAGCGAGTTGAGGAAATACGATGTGGTTGAACCGCTGAACCGCTGCTGGAAGGAAGCTGATTGATTGGTGCACTGGGCCTTGAAGTACGACTTTGCAGTTTGCACCAAACGGCAACGCCCCGCCACCCAATCAACGAACGACATCTCAAGACTCGGATATTCTTCTGAACCTGCGTTGCGCCAAGGCTTGCCGTACACGCATCAGTACCTTACAATGCCCAAGCCAAAGTCAGCGAAGCCGTCAAAGGGACACACCACGACCTCAACACCAACCAAAGCCGTCACCCTTCCGGACTGGCCACAATTCAAGCCGCCATTGCCCGTCGTCGAGCTGACGCCTGAATTACATCCCGCAACGTCAAGAATCGCAACAATCGCCTCCTTCTTCCCCAAGTCTCTCTGCAGAGACTACGTGACGTTTCTCAAAACCCTGCCACTACAGACGACTCCCGGAAAGCCCAAGCGCGGGGAGGCCGTCCGAGTGAATGATCGCTTCCAGGTCGACGATGCAGTCTTTGCGAACAGACTCTGGGAATCTACGGGGCTGAAGGAGGCACTAACTGGAAATGAGGACGTTCAAAACCTTTGGTAGGTCTCTTTATTGCTGCCAAGAACGAAAATTTTGTTTCATGTGCGCACCGGCCGAGATTGACATGCCGACATGCTGAGTCCATTTTCATTCACAGGGGCGGAGAGCCCGTTGGCTTGAATCCAAACATACGCGTCTACCGATATTCCAAGGGCCAGTATTTCGATTGTCATTGTAGGTGTGTTTCCAATGCTGCTGCTGCGTCTTTGCGTCACCTGTTGCTCACGTGGTGCTGCAGATGACGACTCCAACAACTTGACTCTTGCCACGGAACCGCCCACGCCTGTACGCACGACCTGGACTCTGCTCTTGTACCTCACATCCTCCGCCGAAGGCTGCGTTGGCGGAGAGACTGTGTTTTACCCGAATGATCGGAAACTGCCCTCGGAGGAAATTGCCGTGTCGTTGGAAACCGGCACTCTACTGCTGCATAAGCACGGCGACGACTGTTTATTGGTACGTCCATGTATGTACGCAGCGAAAATGTTGGCAAGACCAATGACAACTGACCGCCGTCGTAACAGCACGAGGGGCGGGAGGTCAAGTCGGGCGAGAAGTGGGTTCTGAGAACTGACTTGTGTGTCAAAAGATGAGAGGCGCAAAGATACCCAGTCCGAAGACGGAGCCTAGCTAGCCGGGTTTCTGTTAGATGGATTCCGGGCTTGGTTCCCGATTCATGCACCCGCTGCCATGCGACGGTGTATATTCGACCAGCGCGCGTAGAGGTCGTTGGAAGGTTGTCATCACTTTTATTGAAAACTTCTACTACCCTGGTGATGGGCCAAATCAGCCTTCTGGGAGTAACGACCGGCATGGCAAGGCATTCGCTTGGGGACAGATTTCACATGCCAGGCTGCAAATGGTTATGTATAAACGAGTGTAGCTAAAAGTTTGTCCTTTTAGACGCATTCTTGACCAGTCTCGAGGCGAGGGCATATCGATATTGTGTGAGCCGACTAACACTACACAACGCTCCAAGACCAAGGTCCACTGATGGGTTAATGCATAATAAAATGGTAGTAATCTTGACTGGGCTGTAACGCATTATCCGTCATCAATTAACCAATTCTCCACACCTCACCCTGTCTTGATACTTTTCATAACAATGGGCGACGGAATTGGCGAGCTTCTACCCGCATGAGCTGGACGCATAAATGTTTCGACAAGCTCTATGTAGTACCCTGGGCCAACATCCGAAAGTTGGCAATTCATATACCTCCTCCTTTGTTTAGCTCGCAGTGCCTTGTTCCTTGTGTTCTCCTGTAACAAATCACCATTTCACTAAAACATGTTCAGCAAAGTCACCAGCAGCGGGGGCTTGCCTTCCCTTCCAAGTCGGTATCCTAGGGCTGGATTGTAGCAATGAACTTGGCTATTTGCATTCGACTAACGCCGTTCTAGGGAGCTTTCATGCCAACTTTCTCCTCCAACTTGCTCATCCGGAGGCCGAAGAATTGAGCTGTTGAGACCCAGAAACGGTTGAACTTGTCCTCTTTGTCATTCTGGTGTAGAGCTGGGTTAATGTTGACCTTGGAGGGCTGCTTTGTCAGTGGGCCCATGCCATTAATGCAAACATCGACGAAAGCCTGCGCTAGATCTCCGACTGGGTCTTTTGTCGTCCTCATGTTTCTAATCAATCGTCTTTGAACAAAAGGGAAGCTCCATGTTGAGATGGTTTAGATTCGGTATGGTGAGGGGTCATCGGGCCACCGCCTTGATCAAGCAACATTGTGAATGGATCGGATGGCTGCCTTGGCACCGTTATCAAATTATCGTGACACGGCAAATTTACTGCATAATATACACGGCGAAGGGTTTGGTTGCTCCTATACATGTGGCTTGGTTCTCTGACAGTCAAGTTGCGGCGCGCCAATCATGTCACGCCGCACCTTATGGAATGGCAGATATACCAGGCATCGGGTGGAAGAGGCGCCATCCGGCGGCTACCTCTTTACGCTTCTGCATGGACGACAGTTACTTTGTTTGAAGGGCCAGTATGATCCGAACCATTTTGTTACAGGAATCCTCAACGTTGGCGGATAAATGCCCCTGGCCAATCATGCTGGCCAGATGCTGGCGAGTGAAACCTGCAAAACACAGTGGTAACGCCATTGGTTCATGCTTGTGAGACTCAGCCACGACATTTTATTCTGGCGGTCGTTGTCCTGCTCCAATCAGCGCCGGCGGTTCACCGGGTAGGGGTAGGGATCTGGGTTAAATTGCGTTTGTGTTATGTGCCCTGTACTCCGTACTGCCCTAGAGAGACACCGACAGCAGGGTTCGGTATTACCAAGGAAACGACGAGCCAAAATACTACGGCAAGTCTTGAGATGAACAGTCGACAGCGAATTCCAAAGCACGTTTCGGTAGTTATCAAGGAAGAAGCGGGAGCCAAGAGCGGCGAGCTGCGCATTGATTGGATGGTACTCCGTAGGCGTTCCTGTATGGACGTCAGACAGGAAACTGTAATACGACTAGTAGCAAGTCCATGCTCACCGTGGCTCCTCCCATGTTGAGAGAGGACGAAGCTTGGAACTCACAATCTAACCTGATGAATATATAGGTCCAATTTCCTGTCATCAAATGAGCATGCTCCGTCAAATTGGCCGATGCCACGTTCAATGGAGGTGCATGGATGGGCAGGGTTGGAAGGAAGGGTTGGAACGCTCAGGCTGAACAGCTGCAGGTACTACCTCTAACTTTAGAAGCACGGGGCTGGCAGGGACTTGAGGTCCTTTTTTTGAGCACATGGCCAGTTGAGCGACACCACAGCGGCCGTGGTCAGCTGGTCTTGTTGATCCAGTTGGCACGCGGCAGATCGGAGGTGGACGCCGTTGGCATTGCATCTGGACCAGTTGACATTGTCACTTGGTTCGTCTGCGCGACGCTGGAGGACCAGCAAGCAGCCAGCAACCACCGGACGGTAGAAGTAGTCTGGTACTATGTAAGCTACTAGTAGTCCTCTCTTTGTACAGAGTAATGTCGCATGCCTGCCCCCTTTTTCAGCCCCTGCAGCTTCCCGCCCCTCACCGGCGTGGACATTTCTAACGTTGGCGCCGCCAACCATCAACCCACCACTTATTGATCGTTGATCACTCGGATGCTCCTTCTATGCCGCAAACTTTAACGCCTGGTGTCTAACGTCAAGTGCGGCAAGTCTCCTTGGCAGCGGATAGCTTGGCTTGGGGAGCTCGCATCAATCCTCGCTCTTTCCCTCTTGAGCGTCGGAGCGCGTGTAAGTAGCAAAACTTCGGCTTGGCTCAAGTGTTCCATCAGCCACCGTGACATCCACCACTTCACCCACTCAATCCATCTTGACCTCCACCTTGGCCGAGCAGAGTCGATCAAGTACAATACCTCACGGCAACCACTCTCTGTGCGCTTTCTCCCTCTTGCTCAATTATCCTTTTCTTCTCGTCCAACACGTCCGGTACCTCCCTGGCACAAGACATAACGACTACACTCTAGCTTTAGCACCTCCATCGGCTTGCTTGCTCCTTGTCCCCCACGCCTGCTTGACCACCGAGTAGACATTTCTCAGTTCCACGACGACAGATCACAGCTCATCGCTCCACGACCCAGTCGTGAGGTCGCCGTCACCTCTGTTGCGTCTGGCGTCTGCAGACACGCTGGCGAGTTCACCGTCGAAACTGTCGATTTCGTGCGCCCCAAGTCGAAACACCACCCGCCCCAGATTGACGTCGGACCGCTGCCTTTGACACAAACCGCTTCTCGATGCCTTGTTAAGCCAGTCGCTGTGAAACCGAGGAAAACTAACATAGGCTCTTTTTTGCCCGTATCAATTTTGTTCTTTTTTCTTTCTCTCTTTTCTCTTCCCCTCTTTCCGCGCCTCCCCTTATCGTGTTCCGCGCCTCAATATCTCTTGGCGACTCTCGGTATTTGCGTGTGCTGTGTGGGTGGCCTGTTGTCTCGGATATGAGTTATGCGGTATCTCGTCGTCTTCTTCCTCGATCATATATAGCTTTTTAAGCAGACAGCAATTCCTAGTCTTCGACGTCGAACGAGAAAGCGCCCCGTGCACATCGCCACCTTTCATCAGGACCCTGACACGGAACAATCGACATGGCCTACCATGGAGGCTATGGAGGAGGTGGAGGTCAGCGACCGTATGCTGGTCCAGCGGCACGCCGTCCTGCACCCCAGGGAGGATATAAGGAAGCTCCCCCACAGCAGCAATTCGGCGGTCGACAAGCTTATAATGATTATCAAAATGGATATGCCTACGACGGCCAGGGAGGAGGCTACATAGACGATGGAGCTCAACGACATCAAGACAATTATGTGCCTGGCCCGGGAAGAGGAGGTCCAATGCCTCTGTTTGCAAAGGAAGGTGGCCCTATACCTCGTCCTGGAACTGCTGATGGCACCCGGAGAGGTCAATATTCACAGGGTAGAGGCATGGGACCAGGACCTGGTCGCGGCATGCCACCACGAGGTGGTCCTCCTGGAGGGCGACCTGGTCAATATCCCCAAGGAGATTATGGCGGTGAGTTATCGCACGGCTAGGAAGATCCTGCGCATCTAGAAATATCTGTACTGACGCTTCCACTTTTGCCTTGCCTTTTATACAGGCCGAAGACCGCCCCCGAATCATCCAGCGGCCGGATATAATGGCTATGACCAGGAACGACAGCTGGCTGGCCAAATGTCAGCTATGGATTTGAATGGACAACGGTCAAGAGCCGATGGGAGATCGAGCTATGAAACAGCACGAAGTCAAGACCAGGGCTATGGGGTTCCGCAACAAGGCCTGCCTGCTGGACAGGCTGGTGGTAATTTTGGCCATTATGATGATTCATACGGTGGTGTGCCGCAGCGACACGCAGGACACGAATTCAGCCCTCCAGGCAGGAGCATGACGATGCCAGTAAACGATTTTGGTTCCTCACAAAATATGCCCGCACCGCGACGAGTAGGTACAACACCTTTCAATGGAGTTTCCGGAGCAGGAAGCGTGCCAGCAAGACCTGCAACAGCCGGCGGCCATCGCCCTCCTCCACAAAGGATTTACCCAGCAGATCGTCAGGCGCCGGCCGCGGACCCTTATGGTGGTGGCGCATACAATGACGACCGAGGGGCATACGGCGGCGCTGCAGCACCAACAGGACAGGCTGTTCGCCCGGGTCCGTCATCGTCTGTTGACGATTTGTACGATTCATATTACGACGGGCCCCAAGCCAGCGGTTCCGATCCGCGGAATCAGTACGGATCTCAGCCGGCCAGGTCTAGTTACCCCGATTTCGAGTCTGCACCTGCCGACCCAGGCCGTGGATCCTTCGACCAGTCAATGCGTCCCGCGACGGAGCAGACGCAGCCCGGTGCGCACGGTATGCCGAGACTTCATCACGCAAAGTCCGAGGCCAATTTTCACGAACCACAAGCTGCGGTCTTTGAGATGGCTGGTGATATACCTTCCGTGCCCCCTATGCCACAAGTGAAGCCCTACCAGCCGGGATTCGGCCAGGGATATGGTGCACCGCCCGCTGGATACGACCAGTTGCCTCCCCGAGGACCCAGTGCGCCTCCGGGTCCCATTCAAGAAGTGAGGGCCGGGGGTGCCATGGGGATGGCCAGGCATGGCGCAACGCCGTCGACGCAAACGAATGCCGATAGCCTTCCTTCACATCCTACGCCGGTTCGTCCAGGGTTGATGGCTAACTCCGTGGTGAATATGAATAACCGACCTCCCCCTGTTCGAAACTACGGCGGTGTACAGCAGCAGCAGCAACCGCCCCAACAATACAATCAATCCCTACCGCCTCAGCAACAGCAACAAGAGGCCGGGCATGTTGGAGGTGGATATCCCGCTTCTGTGGAAGCAGGACAGTTTCAGGAGCCAGTGACGCCGCAGGAGCTCGAACGTCTGCGAATGGTTATTAAGGTAAACGCAAACGACCAGGAATCAGCTCTGCGTCTAGCGAAACGCCTCATTCAAGCTGCCGATGTGCTGGCTCCCAAGCTGCCTGACCCTAAGCAGCGGATGAAGGCCCGTGAGAGATACCTCATGGACTCGCACAAGGTTCTCAAAAAGCTTTCCAACGCACAAAACTCAGAAGCCATGTTTGTTTTGGCTGATAGCCTCGGAAAGGGTCTGTTCGGCCATGAGCCAGATAACAAGGAAGCCTTTACTCTGTATCAGTCAGCGGCCAAAATAGGACATGCTGCTGCTGCGTACCGAACCGCGGTGTGTTGTGAGATTGGTCATGAAGATGGGGGTGGCACGCGCAAAGACCCTCTCAAGGCGATGCAGTGGTACAAGCGCGCAGCGACGCTTGGCGACCCCCCAGCCATGTACAAGGTAGGTATGATTCTCCTCAAGGGACTGTTGGGTCAGCCTAGAAATCCGCGCGAGGCTGTAGGCTGGTTGAAGCGTGCTGCAGAGAGGGCGGATGCCGAGAATCCGCATGCGCTCCATGAGCTCGGACTGCTCTACGAATCGGCGCAACCTAATGACGCCATTGTCCGAGACGAAGGCTACGCCCTGAGCCTGTTCCAGCAGGCCGCAGATTTAGGCTACAAGTACTCACAGTATCGGCTTGGCTGTGCGTTTGAACATGGGGCTCTTGGCTGCCCAATTGACTCGAGGCAATCTATCTATTGGTATTCGCAGGCAGCTCAGCAGGAAGAACATCAGTCTGAGCTCGCGCTTAGTGGATGGTACCTGACGGGAAGCCCGGGAGTTCTGAACCAGAGCGACACAGAGGCGTACCTCTGGGCAAGAAAAGCGGCTGTGGCCGGCCTGGCAAAGGCTGAATACGCGATGGGATACTTTACAGAAGTTGGGATTGGCGTCCCTGCCAACTTGGAAGATGCAAAACGATGGTATTGGAGAGCTGCTGGTAAGTTTTTTTCAGACACTTTTACACGTTTTACAACCAAGCTACCACTTGGATGATACTGACGTTCTACGTTATTAGCCCAAGACTTCCCCAAAGCGAGAGATCGTCTTGAAGACCTCAAACGTGCAGGCAAGGGCGGACCTTTTAGACCTCGGGAACGACTTTCACGCAGTAGAATTGAGAAAGAACGACAAGACGGGGAATGTACGGTAATGTGAGAAGACGACCAATGCTGCGTTGTAATCGGCCAGGAAAAATTCTCATGAAGGGAGAACTGGGAGTCTTTTCAGGCAGGAGTTTTTGGCGTTGTATTTCTCTCCGAAATGGAGACGAGCATTAGATGCACCAGGAGGCGGGTTCTTTTGCAGGGAGATAGGAGGTGCGGCTGGCATCGATTACGAGATATGATGCTTGTATGAAGTAGGTGATGTATCAGTAGGTGGGAAATATATTCTACCAAAAGGTTAATCAGATGGCGACTGTGATGTTTTGATGCTGTTGACGTCTTGCTGGAGGATATAATATGGCATGGAGATGGTGCAAATAATAACGACGGCTATGCTTCATTGCTATGACGCCTTGGGCATGAATTTACAGCTAGTGTCATAGTGCTACTTTATTATAATATACTGTAGCGGCGCTCCGTTTTTTTTTTTTTTTTTTTTAAAAAAAAAAAAAATTTAACTTTGGCCAGTCAGAGTATGCGATATGTTCAACTCTAAGTTCAGTGACGGTAGAATAGATTTGGGAGGCCGGGCGGCCGCGTTGCGTAGACGAAAGAAGGAAGAGGGGTGTCAATGCATTGGCACATCTTTTATGAGGTTTCTTTAGCTGGCGCTTTTGTGGTGTCGGAATATTTCATACAGAGGTCGGGCGTCATGATGTAGAGGTAGATCATACTCTAGACACCTACATTATAACTGCTGATGGTTCTGGTGTAAATTGTGGTCAGATATAAAAAGCTTGTCATGTTAAGAATGGTCAGTGGAGTGGCTATATCCTGGTACAGATTAGTTGTTGATTCTATGAAATATGGAATAGTAATAGTACAAAACACGTAGTGATGGAAGCCGCGCTGACGAGGCGGCGTTGGTATCAAGGAACAGATGTACTCCGTGGCGTCCTCATTTCCTGCTGCCGAATAAGCCGCCAAATACAGATGACCCCGGACCCCCGTCCCCTCCACCGCCGCGACCTCCATGCCGGCGTGCCTCGTGCTGAATCCATTCAATCAAGAACTGCCGATCTGCGAGTTTACGCCCATCCGTGACCCTTGTGGCTGTCTGGGCTTCACCGGCGTCGAAGCTCAGCAGCGTGGGGATAGAGGTAATCATGTAAGTCATGGCCAGGTTCTCAGAGTACGATGAGGACGACATAATGTCAGGGGCATCGAATTCAACAGGTGCAAAGGCCACGCCGCCTTCTGCCTCGCCTGTGCCGGACTCGACTAGGGATTGGATCAGGGGAAGGACAGTACGGCACGTTGGACACCATGATGCTGTCCAGAGGGTCAGGAGGGGTGTGCGGGATGAAGAGGATAGCGAGAGGTATGTATTGAAGGAGTCGGGGTTGCGAATCCTGTTTTGTATTTGGATAATTGCTGCTTGTTAGTCAACCGTGATTTCGTACTTTTGGTGCATGCAGATTTGGGACTGAAGCGCGGACCATACAATGCCGTTGAACCCCAAGCTGGTCTGATACCAACGGCTTGACTGTAGATCTGTTGTTTTTTTGGGCATGGGGACGAACTTACGGATTGTAGACCTGGTTCTTGGGCTGACGAGCAGGGGTCGTGGACTGGAAGGCTCTCAGAGATGCGGCTGCATGCAGTGGAGGATAGTGAGCCCGCGTGACAGAGGTCCCGCGCACCGCCAGAGTAGCCGCCGCAGCCTTGGTGCCAAGCCGAATTGTACGGGGCGCGATGTTGTTGCTGATGATGGGGTGCATGGCGAAACGGCCTCGAGCTTGGTCGAGTCAAGTGTATGTAGGCTCGTGGGTGTGGTGTTGAATCTTTGATGGTTGCCAACGTGGGCGGATGATGGACGACGCGCCTGGTGGCTGGTGACGTCTTCTTGGCGGTTTACGAGGCCAAGTTGCATCAATTCTCCAACTTGAGGGGCTCACGGGTGGACTCGCAACGGCTTTAGAGTTGGAACGGAGCTTTCTAAGCGACACGGTTCTTCAGCGATGAGGTCATAATTGGCCTGACTGGAGTAGGGTCGTCTCAACTGATGGTTGACCGCCAACTGTCGTCTTGGCTGCATTGACATGGTCGTTATATCGTACAATAAGTTATATATGTTCCTAGGTGGTTATTAGCTTCGCTCTGGGGTCGAACCATGAGATGCTTCGTAACCTCGTCATTATTATTGATAGGCTGTCACACCAGTCAATCACAGGAGGTCAACGTCCTGTCCGAACCCCGTCGAGCCCCCATGCCATGGAACTGAGGCGGCAGCCTCTTTGGTCACAACCCCGCAAATCTTGCAGCGGTGTCGAGAAGGGGTCTTATGATAGTAGCTCCGTATAGAAGTTGGCTAAACGGCTTGACAGCCCATGGCGGGGAGCCGCAGCAGCCGTAGGAAGGACGATCTCTTTCTTCCACAAGTCAGCACAAGCTAATCCCTGCAAGCAACTATGGTCAGCTACCTAGGTAGTCATTGAATTGCCGGTCCCAGTCTTGCGAGATGGGGAGGACATCGTCATTGTGCATACCGAAAGCTTCATGTTTACCTGACTCGCATCTCCCAACATTGGTGTGTGGGAAAGTACATGGCAGTTATTACGGCCGTTAAGAGTGAAGACCCAGCAGGTAGCAACAGTAGTGATGATTCAAACTTGCTATCAATTAATCACGTCTCTGTGTAAATATTTGCACCCTCAAGAGCAGTGGAGGTGTCGACGTGCCACTTGTGTGTTGTGTGCATCGCTCCTTCCCCCGAGGCCTCGAGATGGATGGCGGGGGAAGGAATGACCGGTAACCCCGAGTGCTGTGTGTAGGGGTCTCTGCCCGCCTGACCGTCAACTGGAGTCTGAGGTCGACTTTGATATTGGTTCGAGATTGTTTGGGTATTGCTCCATACGGAGTAGGCGGCTGGGAGTTTAGCGTGAGCCCTTGTTGCGTAAGTTATTGTTCCTTGTCCGTGCCATGAAACAAACATGGGCACTTGCTCCACCACTTCAAATGTCTGGTTCGTTTGGCGTTGCCTCTACTTCTAGACTTTTGACCGTTAGTTTGGCCACGGTGATTGATTCATGCCGGGATACTTTGTAACTTTCATGTCGGTAGCGTAGCATGGCGTATTAGTTGATTTGTTGGAGCCTGATGACATTGATGACATTTCCTGGCCTCCCTTGCCCCCAACTTTCACGCGCCGAGTCTATTTCAACCTCGTCTTGATGCTTCGCCGCCGACTCTTACTTTGCAACCCTTCGTCATCCTTTGGCCGTTTATCTGTTTTGCCTCGGGTGCCCAAACAGCCGGGGCCCTCGACTGGATCAACACTAGCCACGTGGGTTGGATGAGGACGTCGAGACGAATAACAAAGGGCATCTGAAGCATCCAAAGCCTCGAGCGACGAGGCCGGACGGCCTGAAGGACGAGAACATTGTGGGACGTGGTGCCCTTACTGCCGGTCAGGTGAGCCGTTTTTTTTTTTTTTTTTTTTTTTTTCCTCTTACAACGTTTTTTTGT